GGACACGAAAAAAGACAAAAAGGAAAAAAAAATTAAAATAAAAAAATAAAATAAAATAAAATAATAAAATAAAAATATTTATAGTGAGATCTCCCTACCACTCCACTCCTCCTTTTTTGCCTGGCTTTCTGCTTCACCTCCTCCACAGGAACCACTGTTGTATTTCTCTTATGTGCTCTTCCAGAGAGTTTTATGCACATATAAACAAATATGAATATCTACTTCTACTCTCCCCCATTTCACCTGAAAGGTAGTACTTTTCTGAACACATTGTTCTGTACCTTGCTTTGTTTATTCATGAAATATCTTGTAGAACATTCCATATCAGTATATAGAGAGGGTCCTCATTTTTTCTTCTACAGCTGCATAGTCTTTTACGATGCACCGTTATCATTACCCATTTACCCAGCTCCCTTTTGATGGGCGCTCAGGTTATTCCTAGCCTTGTATTAGAAATGAAGCTCAATGAATAGCCTTGAACATATTTTTGCACATGTGCAAGGGTATCTATAGCCGTGACTCTCGGCCCCAACTGTGCATGAGAATCAGCTTGGGGACTTTTAAAAATCCCAACACCCAGGGTGCACCTCAAACCAATTACATCAGAATTTCTGAGCATGGGACTAAAGCATCCTGGTGAACTCAGTGGTCAGCCAGGCTGGGCACCACTGACCCTATGGGGGAAATTGATTGGTGAAGGGCACATAGATATGTAAATTTGCTGGCTATTGCCATAGGAAATTGTGTCAACTTACACTCCCATCAGCAATGTATAAGAGGGCCTGGGTCTTCATAGCCTTACCAGCAATAGAAGTTTGTCAAAGTTTTTGATTTTTGCCAAACTGCTAGATTTTTTTTTTTTTAAAGGTATCTCAGTCTTGCTTTAATTTGCGTTTCTCTTATTAGGGGTTCAGGGTGAGCATCTTTTCACATGTTTAGAGCCATTTGATCTGTCCATATCTCGTATCCATTTTTTTCATTTTCTTTTTTTAGGTTGACTTTTCTATATGTTAGCAAGACTAGTTCTTTGTTATTTGAGTTGCAAGTACTTTTTACTGCTTTGTCTTTTATTTTTACACTTTTCATGATGTGGTAAGTCTTTTTTTTTTTTTTTCTAGAAGAGGCTTTATTTATTTGAATGTGTCCTTTTTTTTTTTTTTTTTTTTTTTTTTTTTATGGCTTCTGGATTTTGAGTTACGGTTTGAAAGAGCTTTCCCATTCCAGGCTTATTCAGGAAGCTTCCCATGTTTTCTTCTGTTACTGTCCTGGTTTTCTTTATTTACCTTTCAATCTTTGATCCTCTTGGCATTTACGCTGAGGAATAAATCCATCCTTGTTTTTCTTTCCAATGGCCAATTGTCCCATTACCTTTATCAAGGAGAAAGATAGGAACCACTTTGGGCTGCATCAAACAAGAATTTCTTTGTTTTTGTCTTTTTATTTACAGCAACATCTGCTCTTATTTTTCTGAAACTGTAGTCCTGTCCACCCACCCATTCATCCACTCATTGATTGATGGATTCATTCATTCATGTTTTTGTTTTTGCTTGCTGAGAATTCTAATATTAATTGGACATTGTCCCTGACTTTTGGGCTTCTATTTAGGATTTGTTTTAATTACTTAATAACCAATGATGATGACCTTTTTTTTTTTTTTTTTCCCTTTTTGTCTTTTTTCGTGACCGGCAACGAATGGCAACCCTCAGTGTTGCGCCCGTACCGGACCGGGACCGGCAACGGAATCGCAACCCTCGGT